GCAGGTAATCTAAAATCACCTTACCAACCCTCAACTGATCACTGAGCTGCTTCACTTTCGCGCTCCCAATCAGCACCCCCATTTATATTGCTGTGAAATATACATATAAACTTGTCAGAAAAATTGAAATCCAAATTTTCTCAAATATATCAAATTGATCTGGCATACCACATGACTCATTTTGTCACGACAGCTGACAATTATTGTTTAAGCTTCCTTAAACAAAAGAAAAAAAAAAATTAAACAAAACCTTATGTCGGGCCCTGCCCATAAAACTAGCCTGTCGTATGTATCTGAATAATATGAAATGAAAGTATTTAGGAGTGAACAAATGCAATGACATTTAATGGTAAATAGGCGAACTGAAGCGTATGAAAAAAAGGCAGATAGGAAATAATTTCATCCATTCATTCATTCAATTTATTTGGTTTCCACATTGGTGGGATTTGAACCTGCAACCTCTCGCTATGAAGGCGAGTATCATACTCATTGAACCACAAAGACCTATAGAATATACATGCACATTAACACCCCCAGGCACTTCTCTCATACAACTGACTGAAACAATCAACGGAGCATGTGGTTAAGCTATAAAAGCTTGTAGTTTGGAGCTAGGAAATCATATCATTCATTATTTTATTCAGTTTCCAAACAGCGGGATTCATACCTGCAACCTCTCACTATAAAGGCAAGTATCATACCCATTAGACTACGAAGACCTATGGAATATATGTGCACTCCAGGCACTTTCTGTCATACAACTGACTGAAACACTCACACATAATGCAGCTGTGGTTAAGCTAGAAAAGCTTGTACTGTAGGTCGCAGCTGATAGCAAGAAGTTTCAGGTTTGAATTCTGCCTAACATGTTCCTATTTGAGTACTCTTATTATTATTTATCTATTTGTTTATATTGTATTTACGGTGCTACGCAACAAACTTGATTTGAATATTATGTACTATAATTTCCCAGCAGCAAGCCCTAAGATTTTCTAACCTAACCACAAACAAATAATTAGACCTAAGCGACTAAGATCTAGTGGTTGAGGTATCAGATTATTGCTACAATGAATCAAGGAATTTACAAATTAAATATATTATGTATCTTTCGTCTTTTAACAGATGTCTGCATCCAAGGCATTACAATTTATGGATAAAAAAGATCTTGAGTGTGCCATCTGCCTCAACAGGTTTAGCCAACCAAAGACACTGAAATGCATGCACACCTATTGTCTACAGTGTATCCAGAAATGGGTGGAAACTCATGGCAAGATGAAATGCCCCACATGTGGACAAGAACATGATCTAACAAAAAAAGACTTACAACAACTTTCTTCTAATATATTGATTAGTGACCTTCTACGGTATGTAGTGAAAACTGAGGATCAAAAACCAACTAAATGCTCTTTCTGTTACAACCAACCAACACACCACTGCTCAATATGTCAAATGTATCTATGTGGAGGCAACTGTATCAAACAGCACAAGGCAGTACCTTTAACTAAGGATCATCCACTTTACACACTAGACATAAAGGAACAAGATGACAGCTCAGACGAAGAAATCGAATACCTAGATGACAGCAACACCACACTGGAATTTTACTGCTCTACTTGTAACAAATCAGCATGCACAAAATGTAAACAGCAACACGAAGTGATTCCAATTTCAACGGCTAGAGATCAGTTTAACAAAGATGCCATCGATGTTGTTAAGCAGGCGCATGAAATTGAAAATAAATTAACAGAAAAGCTACAATCCATTGCTAAATATAAATCAGAATTTGATTCACAATTCAAATTATGCAGAAACGACATTGAAAATCATGAGGAAAATCTGATCAAGACGGTTCAAGAGAAAAGCAAAGAATTAATATCAGACCTTGAAGAGATATACAAAGAAAGCGAAGAAGAGATTCATTGTGAAATCAAAGATATTGATTCAAAGCTGACTGAAGTAAATAATCTGAAGACATCAATCAATACAATGATAATAAAAGCAATGATTAACAAACCAGAACAGGAATCTCTTGGATCATATTGGACAACTGTCAACACTGTCAGAGATGACTTCCTTGGAGACAATTTCAATAGTAACTTTAATAGTAAAAGTAGTGTTAAACCAAATTTCATTCCATCGGAATACGTCAAAGAGTTGCAAAAAGGGGGCATTGGTACCTGTCTCTTATACACATCTAGATGTGTATAAGAGACAGTCACTGGGGAGCCCATCCTCCTTAAAAAATTTACTC